GTGTTTGGACCGAGCTCTGATGTGTCTGTCAACTGTCTGTCCTTCAGTCTTTGAACGAAGAGACTCTGTGTACGATTCCTGAGAGCATCGACACCTGGACCATCCACGGCCTCTGGTGAGTATCGCACCCCACCGCCAGAACACCTCAGCGTGACTCACCTGCTCTAACCTGTTTGTTTCTTCTTTACACCCGTCTTCAGACCTGTTGGTAAAGTTGGTGTAAGACTCCAAAGTGCTGCTTCCCTTTGTAGAAATGATGATGTACTCAAAGCAGTGTCACCTTTTTAATGAGGTGTATCCAAAATGTTCCTGTTTGTAAAGCACCATGGGAAAACCAGGCAGAGCCTGGACCTGACGCCTTTACATTATGGAGCGCTGCAGGTTACAGGCTAGTGATGGATGTAGTACCGGCTCATTCTCCAGGAGCCCGTCCCCACAGCGAAGGCAGCGGGTCGGTGAGGTTCTGAATGTGCCAGGACTTTTTTTTACTTGTCCCTTCTCATTGGCTGTAAGTCACTCATTTAAAGACACACCCAGGAAAAGACCTCAAACATCTCAAAGCCACAGACAAAAGGAGCTGATTGAAGTTCAGAACCGGTGTTAACTGGGTCTTATGTGATAACATGTAAGCTGTTGTTTCTTCCACTTAGTTTGTCTCTGAGCTCCTCCTCCTGCTGTTCTCCTCAGCCGTCTGCTTCCTGTCAAGTCTGTTCACCATTTGTGTGACCAGGCCAAAGCCCCGCTGCAGCCGGTGTCACTGCTTATGAGTAAATGTCCACAACAGTTTGTTAAAATGATTTCATTTGTAATACCCCAGGTCTTTTATTGGACAGATCTGAATAACGAAGGAGTCCGTCTTTCTTCATTTTAGTGCTGATTTATTTCAAACCACAAGTAAAATTACAAACACGACCCGGGTTGTTCCTTCCTCCAGAGAGACACACTGGAGTCCCTGGCCACACAAAGCCTAATACATTTCTAGGTTTTGGGCTAACCCCCTTACACAGATGAAGTCAGTCCGCAGACTCCATCTCTTATCTAGAGCTCCAGCTGCATGGAGCCACTGCACTTTACCTAGTCACAACCAAATGAGGGAGCTCAATGTGTGTGTATGTTGTCACGTGGTGCGTAACTAAGACGTTCATTCAGACATAATATTCTAACACAAGGTTAATACAGGAAAGAATTGGTGTCATAAGTAACAGTAGCTCACATTTCAGAGTCATCACTGTCTGCTAACCTTGAAACAGAGCAGACTTCATATCTTACTAAACTGCATTACTAATACATTTGATTCAACACATTAATGTCTAATAATTATCTGACTGATTTACTCATATCTAACACATTGGCTGCTCTTGTGTGTTTGTGTGTGCACAGGCCTCTTCGGGTGCTAAGCTGCTGCAACTGCTGGCCGATGTTCCTCTCTGACGTCCAGGTGAGTCTAGGTGGCCTGGTCACCTGAGACACACACTGATGAGACAGCCCCTTATAAAAGCTGGTACCTGATGCTGAGAGCTGATTGGCCAGTGTCATTTATCTTCCAGGAGCTGCAGGTGGAGCTGACTGAACGCTGGCCGTCCTTAGTGAAAACCAAATCCAGCTTTCACTTCTGGTACGTCAGAGCTTTGTTTAGAGACGGTTTGTCCACCTGAGGAGTCACTGACCCACTGACATGTTTGTTCTTTACTGGACCAAACTTAAAGAGAGATTTGCAAAATGTTTCTTCATGTTATGTGCTAAAGTGCCAAGACAAAGATCAGCCGCTTCCTAGTGGGCCACTGGTTGAGACGCACGGTGGCTTCAGGAAATACTCAGGCTCCTTCACTTCTTTTTCATTTTAAATTGATAAGTTTACCACTTTTGCCCTAAATAGCCCACGATGACAAAGTGAAAATGTTTTTAGACCTTTTTTACAAATTTATTACAAATCAAAAGCTGAAATCTCCCAAAAGTGCTTAGCATAGTAGTAGAGTGATCAGCTGGCTCATATGGAAGCAAATCCCCACCAGAATGTTTGAGGGTACTAGCCAGGTTGCAACTCAGCATTTGAGAGCAGGCACCGATTTCTAGGTGCAGAATCGGATTTGAAAGCATAATCACAGCCATGTGCTCCGATTTCTCCACTGGGCTTTGTGTGAAACTACGGTGGCACCAAAAGGTTTGAAAGCACATAACAGAAATTCTGAGTCTTATTCCGTTTGTAAATTAGAATTTAAGAGCACACAGGCGTGGATCTGTACGAGCAGAATCGGACCTGAGAGCGAGGGAGGACAGAATCGTGAGCATCCCAGATGACTGGAGCAAGAAGCTGGGATCCTGTCTCGCTTTCAACTATGATTCTACTCAACAAATGTGTGCCTGCGTACTCTAAACTTCTGATCTACAAGCTGAATAACTAAGCTTGTGTGTGCTTTCAAACCCCACATCAGTCGACCACTAATTCAGGGCTTTTACTTCAGGAGCAGCTACAGCTTCAGTCTCTGTGGGTGAGGCTCTACCAGCTGTGTACACCTGGGTCTGTCCAGTCTGTCCTGTTCTTCCTTCTCTGGCTTCGTCACACTGGATCCAAACTGTATCTGCAGCTTCTAGAGTACTGAATTTAGGCTCTGAGAACTTTCTTTCTTTAACAGGTTTGTGAAAATGTGTTTTCCCTTTGTTATTTTGGGTTGTTGAGTGTAGATTAATGGCCATAAATGGCAGTTTTGTCCAATTAATATTAAACCAACAGAACAAAGTGCAGAAGTGAAGCTGAATATTTTCTGATTGTAACTACAACACCCTGCTTTCCATCTCAGCTCGGGGATCGCTGTCACATGTCTGTATCTGCTCTGCCACGACCTAAAAAAGGCCTCATAAAAATATAATTCATATAATGTTGCTGTCAGTGTGTCAGTGAAGTCAACATCAGTGTCCGTCTGTGTGGAACAGGAGAGACGAGTGGCACAGACATGGAGCGTGTGCGGCGTGTGTTGAGGGAATGAACTCTCCGCTCCGATACTTCCAGATCTGCCTCAGACTGCGAGGACAGTTCGATGTCTACAGGTCAGTCGCACGCGCACGCTCCTACTTCTATTACTACGAGGGTGTCAAAGAAATTTTAAATAATGCGACGACGTCACTGGAACATTTTCAGCAGTATTCTTTACTTGCAGCAAGGGGACAAGTCAGCATGAGCATACAGAGTGCACGTTTATGGTTGGGTCCCTCTGTGAAAGGAGCATCCTGTAGTTGAATGTATCACAGCACATAGAGTTAAATAAGAAAGATAAGACATGTCCTTCAGCTCACATAATCAGTTTCTCACAGGTCTGAAAGTTTAAAATCCAACGAATAGCATATATAATGTATAATAATGTATAATAATGTAATTCTTATGGACACTCCGGAGTGCAGCCTGATTCCAGTGTAGCCAACGTGTCCACACAGAGATTAGCAGGCACAGTAGATGCACATGTGTAGTGTTCAACAGGTTTCTGTTGTTCCTGAAGCTGAACCTCCTCATCACGTGGAAGCAGGGTTCATGCAACATGCAGCCCATAATCACACCTGGGAAACAGGACAGATCTGCTCCTTTGATTTACAAAACAGACACGAGGAATGACCTCACTCACAGTCCTGCTGAGGACAGCTGGCGGTCCAAACCTAAGACAAATGGACTAGACTGTTTGGTGAATGGTGAAAGACAAGGTGATCTGTCTGTGTGTCCTGCAGACTGCTGGAGGACGCTGGCATCACTCCATCCTGTGAGCGACCCTACAAGGTACCAACACACTGTCGGGGTTTTATTAAAGTCAGCAGTCACCATGAATGTGAGCCTGTGCACAGCAGCCAGTGAGACCATGGCTATGACCTGACGTGGTACTGTAAACGTTAAGTGTCACACAACACAGTCTGCAAACGGACTCAGTCATGTACATTATACATTAACATAACTGATCGCATCAGATAAACAGAAGCTGCTTCACCGTTTCTGAATTCAGTTTGTAACTCATTGCCTGGTGTCATCACGTCAGGTGCAGTAGGTGTGCGAGACAAAGACGACAGCCTGTGTTTACAGAAACATGTAAAACTTTAGCTGCCTCCACTGCTCGTTTTTCAAACGTGATAACTGTGCAAGTTTTAACCACCAACGGTGAACTAACAGCCTCCAGTTTAGACACAGTAGATATGTAGAACTGTTCTGACACCGTCTGACACTACAGTAGATATGTAGAACTGTTCTGACACTGTGTGACACTGTCTGACCGCGTCTGCATGTACTCGTCTGTCTGTGTTCAGGTTGCCGAGGTCCACAGTGTCCTGGCTCTATTTCTGGGCGACAAGCATGAGATCCAGTGTGTGACAGACGACCAGGTCAGATCATCCATGTGTTTTTACGTTGCTCTGTGCTCGAGTCACAACCGACTGTTTATAGAGCAGAGACCATTAATCTGAGCTGAAAGACAATTATTGTGCAACTATGCTGAGAGATGGATGCAGAGAGGATTTACTGCTGCACAGCTTCTCTTTTCTATCACTGTAAACTAAACATTTTGGGGTTTTGAGCTGTTGCTTGGAGCAGCAGGGCTTGTGAAGAAGTACTGAAGAGTTTTACAGCCAAAACTATCGAATTAGCTACAGCCCTAATTATTTTCATTAGTAATAAGCTGTCAAGTAACATTTCCAACAGTCCGAACCCCAAAGATGCTCAGCTGTCAAAGATAACCAAGACATTTTCAGACGATCGATTGTTGATTAGCTGATTGGAAACTGTGGATGAGAGTCAATTACTCTGAGAGCACGACTCTTCCAGCTGTGAGTGAAGCGGTCCCAGATCAGACGGAGCACGATCAGTGATATTTCCTGCACATGTAATTGGTCAGTGAATTATTGTTTATGTGATGAGCACACAGTGCTACAGTCAGAAGTTAAAGCTAAAAGCTGAGGTTCTACTGCTGAGTCTTTACGCCAACTAATCATGTAGGAACACACTAATAGAAAAAAAATCCAAGGCACGCCACTAGAGAGCTGCTTCTCCTGATGAGGATTTAACAGTTCATAGGTGGGTTATGGCCCAAATCTGGGTGTAATCTGCAAAATGTGAAGTAAGCAGTCGGTCACATGTGCAGGAAACATCACAGTTTAAGTTAGTCAGCAGTGATTGTCCTGGGTCTGACTGATCCACAGGCTTGTTGTTAATACAGTTCTTTTATTTGACCTCTTTATACTTGTACTCCACTATGTACAACTTCTTGTAATAGTGAGAATACTCCACTATGTACAACTTCTTGTAATTGTGAGAAAATGCAGAGGATGGAGCCTGAGAATGATCAGGTCTTAATAACAAGTGAGAGGTAGAAATTAAAAGGCCTCAAGTTCTAGAAGAATCATTTTTACTGACATCTGACAGATTTTAAAGGCAGACAAACCTGTGTGTGTGTGTGTGTCACTGTGTGACTGTTTGTGTGGTACCATGTTCATTTTAATGTTTCTGTTTTAAGCAGTTAAAATGTGTGCCTCACCCCTTTTCCCAGCTAAGCTGCTGGATAGCTTGGTGGTACGGCGGGTCGAGGTTCAATTCTCTGTCAAGGCATGATAGATTATGGGAGTTAAGATAGACAGGAAGTAAGGTGGGAGGGAAGATGGATCAGACCTCTGACTACCCATCAAGATGTCAGCTCAGATTGTTCTGGTACCTTCTCTCTGCTCGCTCTTAAGTTGCACTGCTGTTACTCATCTGTTGGAGTCTTTCTCCTCCAGTCCTGCTCTCCAACTTTTCTTCGCTTCATTGCATCTTAACCAAAAATAAGTATTAAACTAAGTGACCTAGACAGTCCTCATGTAGTTAGCTTTTTTTGGTTTTGCACCATAAAATGTCAGCTGTTTCAAGAGCTCGGTTGTGCCACAAATCATCTGTCCTGCAGACAAAACATAAGGCGAACCCACTACTGTGAGGAGAAGAACCCATGAGTGAAGAGTTCAACGACAACAATACTCAGGACTTTATGATTTAACGTACCCTAAATATTTGGCATTTCTTCAAGTAGAACTTTCACATCATCTGCTTTACATCTCCCCTGAAGTTGCCACAAAAGGAAAAATGTCATGGTGATTAAAGAATCCAGCAGCACTAATGATAAGTGAGTGGTGTCTTACCAGTGAAGGCGTTTCACATCTGGTCATCCGTCTCCTCCCTCAGGGCAGAGAGGTGTGGTTTCAGGTGAAGATCCCTCTGTCTCGCAACCTGACCCTCGGCTGTGATCACCACGGCGACGCTGGCTCTGACCCAGGATGGAGCCTCTCCCCCGGACACCCCTGTCCTCCTCAGGTCCCCTTCTACTACTACCCCATAGACCACCAGCATCCACAGCAGCCCTGTGGCTAACAGCAGCAAGCCGCTTGTCTTCAGTGGCAAACACCAGACTTTCATATGCGGGACAGTAACGGCAGGGTTGCCACACAGTAGAGACGACTGTTAGAGGCCCTGTGTTGATCCTTTAGTTCACATGTAGACCAAAGGTGTCCTCTAAAGAATTCAAATGAATTGGAACATTTTCTAAAAAGTTTTTCGTCTCTGAATCTTCAATAAATGTAATATTTCCTGCTATTTCCTATGTGCCCACCCTGTCTCCTGTTAACTACAAGTAACTTGGCCAAATAAAGGTGATTATCCTTAAGTACAGTGCGTGTCCAAGTCTGGTGCGTCTTCTTCCTGCGCCTACAGTTACATGGGTGGATTAATCTGCTGCTGAAAATAGTCCCCAGCAAATGCACCATCCCCTTCTGTTTGATAAAGACTACGATGAGCAGCTGTTCTGGGAAACAACTGAATCTTAAAAAATGGCCTTGGGTTTAACAGCATTGACAAAGTTTTGTCTTCAGCATGAGCCAGCGGGGAGCGAGCCACACACAGGCTACAACATACCGGTGGTTTTGGTCTGCACATTGGTGGCCACTCAACTGCAGAATTAAACCAGACTGATTCTTTTAGGGGCCCTTCACGGCACACTGCATGTGGTGGTCGAGGACAGATTTAAATAGTTAGACATGTCATTACATTATCAAGCTGAGCTGCTCTAATGTTTTGACAATTAGCTAAAACACTTATTGGCTGCAGTGCTGGACGTCTGCACTGGAACAAGGCAACATGAGGTAGTAGTTGTCCTTCCGCTGACAGACACCAGGCAGGTGACGTTTGGATGCCGGCTGTCTTTGTTCTTCCAACTAAATGATCCGTTGGTGAAGACTGATCTATGAAGATGACTAAAGATTTCACAAAGTTTCTCCTACGACTCGGGCCAAAATCACACTGCCCTGTTAACTGTTGAACAGCCCCCGGTGAATACTGAGCAGCACCTCAGCCTGAAATGCACATCCCTAGCGTTGACATTTTGTATTTTACACTAGTCCCCAATCCATCCAACTCACTGTGGATGAAACAAACACGTGGGCACTCAGGTCGACAGGTTCACAGTTTATTGACATTACACATAGTTTTCTTTTCCTTCGTGCACTGAAAAAACTGAAAGCCCTGAAAAGAGATTCAGATCACTAGGAATAGAGTAGAGCAAACAAAAAATAAAACGTGAAACAAGCAGAGGGGGCAAAGGCCTGCTGGACGACACCGACGCACACACAGACTCCTTTACAGGAGGGAGACAAAGTGTTACTGGTCATACTGGGATGTGGCGCCGAAACAGGATCCACTGAACATCTCTGGACTGTGGGGAGCTCATCTGCCTAGTGTGTGTGTGCTGCTTTAACAAAGCAATAAAAACTAAAATCCCAACATTTGTGTGAGCACAGCAACAACAGTCTATTACAGTCTGTCCTCCGACCTGTGTGTGTGTGTCTGTGCACGTTTCCTCCCTGTCAGTCTGTGTCTCAGTGCTCGAGGCGGCCCAGGAACCTCAGGTTGAGGATCTTCAGCTGGTCGTCCAGCTCCATACGGACGATGCCGTCGTCTCCGTCTATGCTCAGCAGGATACCCGTGGCCTCGCGGTCTTCTCCCAGGATCACCTTCACCTGGACACACGGCACCAATGAGCACAGCCTCAACAGCTTCTCAGTGTCTTTGTAACAACGTGTATATTCCAACTAACTCAAATGAATAAAGATGATCTTTTAATGTAAAGTATCAAAATCATTTTATTCTTAACTTCTGAATTACATCCACAGCTTCTGTTTAACAAAGCTAACGTGCTTTAGGTTCTGTGATCCATCCAGTTTAGACAACATGGTCGCTGAATGCGAGTCCCAAACCATGGGGCAGCCTTTCATGCTCATATGATGAACTAATTAGCTGACAGCTGCCAATTTACACGTTCAGAAGGTATGGAGCAACATGTCTGGAGTCTTGTTGGTGTTCAGCTAATGAATGCTAAACCCACTCGTGCTAAACCCACTCAGCTCCTTCAATATTTGATCTATTTTAACCTTCCAATTCACCTGCTGACTAGTTTTTACTCACTCTGTCACATCAGATGGTCCTCAGCTGGTACAATCAACTAATTGTTCAGAGGCATACTGTCGGCTTACTGCTTCATCATCTCACCAAATTAATTGTTTCTGTTCCACAGTCTTTCCTTGTACAGCGCCTCCTAGCTGTCAACATGCTTTTTTTTTTTATTTGACTTCAATCCAAGATTGTCAGTAAAATTAAAACTGAAAACTGGACAGACAGAGGTGCTAGAGGTGAGCGATGTGGAGACGTGGGCAGAAGCAGTAACAGTTACCTTGTTGTTCTTGGTGGGAGTGACGGGCTCCAGGTGATCGCTGCTGATGCTGACCACTTTCTCAGACTCCTGCATGAACACCGAGCACATCCCTCCCTACACACACACACACACAGATTATTTTAACCCTTTTACTGCTGCTTTTTTAGGGTTTGACTTTCAACAGATTTCCTAAGGAGAAGCTTTCACTTGGACATTTTGGGTGACTGCATGTAAACTGATGAAACACTGTCCACAGTCTCACTGTCAACTGATTCCTGTAATTTGGGTGAACTGACCCTTTAAATGTATTAAAACCTGTTCTAGACCGCCCTGGTTTTCAAATACTAATTTCACTTCACAGCTGTACTCTCTCCTTTGGCCGATGGTTCATAGTAGCTGTAAAGATTAACTGATCAACAGAGAATCTATCTGCATATTGATAATTGATAATACCGATATGGACTGAGATTAACAATTAGGCAAAAACACCCAACATCCTTTTTCTGGCTTCTCTTGTGTGAAACTTGTGGGTTAAATATCATCTTGCTTTGGGTATTAGACTCTCCACTATTTTTCCTGCTGGTTAATTATGATTAATTAACAAAATAAGTGGCAGACTGGATGATAAACAAATGTTTTGGTTGCAGCATTAATTACTAACCTGCAGCTGCAGAGTCTAATCAACATCTCAGGCTACAACTGATTATTTCCACTGCAGGTGAATCCTTTGGTCTAAATGTCATAAAACTACAACAACCTATGCTGTTGATCCCAGCTCCTGCCTACACACATGTTCGATGATGCAGCGGATGTGTGTATCTGATACCGTGATGCTCCTGATGACCCCGGTCTGTCCCATCATGTCCATGAAGGAGTCCTTCACTCGGACCAGGATGTCGGTGGTCACCCAGTCGCTGCTGCCCTGCTCGATGTTGGAGCCTGGGGTGTGAGGGTTATAGCCTCCAGGAGAGGGCGCTCCTGGCGTCATGGGACTGTAGCCCACAGGACTGGGGCTAGGACTGGCCTGAGGAGACGACAGGGGTCACTGTTAGAACAAAGTGATGTTGAGATTGACTGTGCTAGCCCGACTGAGGTACAACTCCCGTTAACACGTCTGCTTGTGTCTGACTGCATCGTGATGAAGCCCAGGATCCTGCTGTGTCACCTACTAACCAAAGATCCTTAATAAACACATTCAAGACATTAACATTAACTGACATTAACTAAATTTGCCTGATTGCTGAACAGCTGTTAAAGATCTTTAGCAGTTCCACAGTCTAGAATAAACAAAATTGTTGTTAAAAACCTTGAGAAATACCTGATCAAAGATTAAGAATGTGACCAAACATCTGATCACAAGTTCCCAACAGTTTTCATTAGCTTTAAATACTCTTAGCCTGACCTGGTATGTGCTCATAACACTACCCGAGTGTACGGATCTAAAATAAAACACCTAAGAGCATGCTCCAATAATACGCCAAGCTCCAGTCTGGCAGGCACTCAACCCTGAATTACCCAGATTTAAGAAAAGGTGGAAACAGTTTTCAGCCCTTAGAACTGAAACAAGGTTTGGGCTGCACAAACAAACCTGCAGTGGCACAACAAACGTTACTGAGAACTGTCGTCGGGCTTTTTCTAAAGTAGTTTTACTTTGCTTATTCACATCTCAAGGGGGACAAACAACCCTCTCCTACCTGATAAGCCATGGGAGACGGCGTCGGGTGGTAGCTGGCCGGAGAATGTGTGTTCTGGTAGCCAACAGGTGAGGGCACCACCTGGTGGTAGCTCTGGGGACTGGGGCTGGGCTGATAGGAGCCCTGTGGAGACGGGGCTGCGTAGGGAGAATACTGCTCTGTGTTGTACCTGCATGTGCACAGAAATATAAACAGGTTTGACTCCAGAGACATCAGACACATTCAAACTTGTTTCCTGCTG